CGCCGCCTAAGATTATTGGCCTTAAGGGACCGTTTCTCCACTACCAGGTCCATTGCAAATGAATGGTTTGCAGAACACGGAAGACCTATTGGCATGCGAAGTGTTTACCGACGAATGAGAAGTTTTGGCTTGTTTTCATACCGGCCACACTGGGTCCTCCCTTTAACTCGAGAACACCGACGTAATCGCCTTGAGTGGTGCAGACAACGGTCACTCTGGGATCAGGAATGGAACAGTATTGTCTTTAGTGACGAGTCTCGATTTTGTTTAGGCATGCACAATGGTGGTGCCAGGGTTAGAAGGCGACGTGGTGAAAGGAGGAATCCACAGTTTTTTGTTGAAAGACATGTTCATCACACTGTTGGAGTTATGGTTTGGGGTGCTACAGCTTATGGTTCCAGGTCACCTTTAATCTTCATCAGAGGTAACATGAACGCGCAGCGTTATATCCACGAAGTTCTAGAACCCCATCTTTTACCCTATCTTAACACCCTGGCAGATCCAACTTTCCAACAAGATAATGCCCGACCACATGTTGCAAGAGTCACAATATACTTCTTTCAACATAATGATGTCACATTGTTACCATGGCCACCAAGATCTCCCGACTTATCCCCAATTGAGCACGTGTGGGATATGATGGGTAGGAGATTGCTCAATTTGCAACGTCCTCCTCAGACTCTAGAAGCACTTCGAGAGGAGTTGGTGGTTGCCTGGAATGAGATACCACAGGAGGACATTGACCACCTGATCAGAAGCATGCCTAGGCGCGTTGGAGAATGCGTAGCACATCAGGGTGCATTCACACATTATTAAAGGTCAAAGGGCTTTAAAGCAGTGCAATCATTTTGAAATTTTTATCATTTACTTATTATGCTTCATTAAGTACTTATACAAAATTTTATTAAAATAAAACCATTTAAACTGGGTGTTCGGATTTATATGTCACTTAGTATATTTTGTATTGAAATGAAAATAGGTTAATATGCTGTAATTGCAACACGTGTTATTTTTATTCTGCAAATATTCACTGTTAATATTTTGAACCTATAACAACCTGCTACATTTTTATTATTTGTGTTTGATAAGAAAAAAACTAAGATTTCAATAGTTGGGGCAACTGAAGTGGGAAGGGGCTCGTATATGTGAAATGTATTGTGATTACTGTGGGATATGTAGAAGTGACTTTGTCATAAAGTGATGCAGATAAGCTGTGACCATACCGGTGTGATTTAGTTGACAGAATATTTAAAATTACATGTGATAACTATTACATGTAATTTTAGACTCAGTCTCTGGATAATCCTTGCAGTTGGCACCGTTATACAAAGTACGAACGTTTTTTGCATTGACACCAATATGTAAATAACGCATGGTTATACCGGAAGGGTACAGTCATAAAGCCATAAGTTTTATAAGGCATGTAATAAAGCAAAACGCTGCCCATCTAGGCCAATAAATTTAAGGCATAGAACTGAGCAACCTATATAAATTTATAAAGATTGCATAAACTACATTACTGATTTCTATGTTGTTTATGAATTATAAAGAAGTCAATCCAAGTCAGGTACCTGTGTTTTGCAAAGAGTGTTCAATAACATAAATTTGGAATACATCTATCTATATTTTCAGGAAACACAATTTTTATTCCATTGTCAAAAAAGTGAACATGTGGTTAATTGTTGAAAATAAATCATTTTGTATTTCATAATTAGTATTAGATTTTATTATCCTGAAACTTGTTCCTCAAAACAGCAACTTATTAGGGATATTTTAAGAATCTAGCTTCATGAAATAGTTCCTCAAAATTGAAAATATCGTTTCCAGCAGATTTCAAATTATGAAAAAACGAAACCCTAGCACATTCCTGACATTCCGTATTCCAATGTTATGTGACCTGTGGTGTAGCTTGAGGTCTTTGAGAACGTTATTCCTGGATCAACACTCGTATATGCTGCCCTTAAACCCAAAGGTTCGATAGGGTCAGCAAAGCACTTATCTCTGCAGCAGTATAGCTATCTCAAACAAGACGACACAAATCCTCTTAATAGCTCATACGCAGTATGTTAACATCGCAATCTGACATAAGAAAGCTCAATTTGATAAGGAGTTGCAATTCCGTTTTCGCTCATTCCCGATGTGCTTTAGGGTGAAAGAAAAACGTCTGATCAAAAATCTTCGAGTGATCGCTTTTCCACTGGTACTGCCAGATTTCATCCCTTTGAGTCTGGTCTAAATGCAATACTATGCCAGTCTACCGTTCGTTTGTTATTTGCTGCTGCTGCTCTTCCAGTTGTCGCCGTGATTTACTGTTACGTATTATTATTCTTATAAATACGCTGCGTACCACTCGCTAGAATATTATGAACAAATACCTCACCTCACGGTTTTCCTTTCATTTCTACAAAGAACGATCGGCGAGGTTGCCGATAATGCCTATTGCTACACTTCAGATGATTGTATGCTATCGAGAAAAACATTTTATAAAGTTAGAGAACTGTTAAAACGGTCCAATTACATCGCAAGTGGAATCAACTTTCGTCTTATTGGCAGCATTTGGAGTGAATTGGAAATTAGGGTCGTTTTCTATTCCATGGAGAACAAATAAAATTGATGGCGCTCCCAAATGGGAGGCTCACGTTGAATATCTATGCACAAAACTTTCAACACAGTTACTCGTACTCCGACAATTACAACGTATCTCTAGACAAGAAGTTTTAAACGCACATTTCGAATTATATTATGAATCATGTGTAACCGTTTTTTATTGTAAATTTTCGACTCTCTGTTACTCAATGATTTCTGCATCCAATGACTTACATATTATTATAAATATAATATGGCCAATAAACTATCTGTATCTACATCTACGAGTAGATATCTGCTTGATCTACAGTGACTTGTGGGAATCTTAATTAGATGGTCGTTCAATAGCTACTAGATTCGGGCAAAAGCGTTCCCTCTGATAATTCGATTCGAAGGTTTCGATCCCTCCGATTCGTTCACGATTCCTTTTCAGATTTCTTTCGATTCAGATTCCCGCAATTCCAAAACATGCTATCGGTGTAAATGAGCGCTACAAATGAACGTCTAAGAACTAGGAATTGATTATCGATTCTGGTGATCTCGACCCAGAATTCGACGATTTTGATACCAGCACATACGACAGTCCACCAAATGAACTGTTTAAAAGACGCCTCTGTTAGAATTTAGATATTGCTTTTGACTTCAAAGACCTTAAATGAAGTACGCTATCATCTTCTGTAGTGCCTGTGCCAAAAAAACGAAGCAAAATATAAATTCGAAATGTTTGAATTTGTTATGAAAAAAAATTGACCCATTCTTTTTTGCATAAAAATAACATTTATCTTCCGAAATGGATTGCGATTCATATCGGCAAGGTATAGTGTATTTTGCTATAAAATGCCGATTGAACTAACCCTGTATATTGCTCAATAAACTAGTAGTGATGGCCGGAAAATAGATGTTTTGGGATAGACAATTAGAAATTCTCAAAAACTACTTGACCAATCTTGTTGTGGTTATTTAGAAGTACGAATCCTACGAATCTGGAGAATTTCAAATATCTGCGAGAAACCATCGTCACATTACCAACAAGTGCTAAAAAATTCAGTATGCCTCGGTTTTCGGCCATAACTTTTTTGCGATTAGTCGGATCTTTTTAAGTCTGATAAATACCTTAAGATCTTATACGAAGAGTTTTTTCGTTTCTGCCAACACTTTAGATTGAATCCCAAAAAAAACACATTTTCTCATTCTTTGCGTTTGAGCAAAAAGTTTTCCCACAAAAATTGGTGTATCCATTTTATGCATCCATGTTTTCAATACCACCTTGAACAACTTACAGCAATAAGACTTTACAGTTATTCTGTAAACCAGGGGTATTTTCGTCTAATATGATTAGACTATATTTAAAAATTCCCGATGTCATACTGGAAATTGTATATAACTTTGAATGAACATTTTTGTGGGTGGGTTCAGACTTGAACTTAAAACATTTTGAGAATTTCGGAGTAGTAATTTAAGGTCCATATGATAATAGTAACATTGCTAAGGCAGTAGGAAAGAAAAAGGGACACTGTGATGGAACCATGATTCTCCAACTCACAAAAATTAGCCGAAAAGGAAACTGTGCACATTATTACTCACATAATAATAATGATATTTATATACTCCAGAACACAATAAAAAGAATGAGTAAATGAATATAAAACAAGGGTCCATAGGAGGCATTGCAATTGTGCATATTATTGAAATATGAATAAAGGTACAACTAATCAACGAATTATTTGATATACTATGAATATGTGTACGTCTGATCTACCCAGAGAAAAAATCGGTTCTTTTTTTTAAATATTCCCTAATCGTAGGCCCTTTACATCGTCAGGTAAATTTACCTTGAAGTTGGTCCTAAATAAAAGTATGATCCTTTTATAATAGATTTATTTGGTCTAGGTTCCTCTTATTTTATGCCTTGTGTGGTGATTGTGTTTAATTTTTCGGTCATTATTAATAAAGCGAGAGTTGGTAAGGTATGGTAGAAGGTATACAGATAGTTTTCTATTGACATGTGTTTGATGTATTTAATTTTTTACGAAACATGCCACGCAAGTGTGGGCACAGGTATTTTATATTTAATGCTTTATTAATTTCCGATTATTTACGATAAAGGGGATTATTGTACAATTTGGTGTCTAAAACAGGAACAAAATGGTAAAAAATCAGTAACTAATGCTCAATTTTTTATTATAAAGCCACTGGATAATGTTGATAATATAGTCGGTTAGAAGATATGAGTGCTTTGGCAGCTACCTGAGAACTGTGAAAGAAGTGTATACAATATATGGCTTTATAGTTTTGAACAGAAGCTAAAGGCATCTGAAGTAGTCATCGTGCTACAATTTCCTTTGTGATAGACTGAAGCACAACTTGGCAACATGGGTGGTACGACTGTTATAAGCACAGGAACGTCCTTGCGATCAATTCCCGCATTTCAAATTCCGCCTATCAGGTTGTAGGTTGTTGGCAACAACCGAGAGGGACTGAGACGCACACACCATAGATATTATGGGAGTAGCCGACTCTCTAGTTACTTGTTTATCTACTATACATTGTACACTTCTTCCGTTACATTGTGCATTGTTATACGCTAGATAAAAAAGTATTGTAAATACGAACTGGCTTTGTTTATCGCTGTACATAATATATTTACATACGCAATTCGTGATTTGCAAGGAAAGTGGACTGTTTGATAATATTTCATCGTTGTTTGGGATCATTGGGATTTATCAGCTTTTCGATATGGTGATGAAAAATTATGAGATCTGTATCACTCCACATATAGCATTCTGAGCCACATATAAGTACAGGTTAGGAAATTTTCAAACTGGACATTCACGGCTTTATAAGCAACGAATCAGTGGTATTAGTTCGATAATGTCGGACAGATATCTAGTATACAGGGTGACTTTGAAGTTGAGTCATTAATTTACAGATAATGATTGTAGAAGGAAGATAAACCGAAATATGTGTGTAAAAATATAAAAAAATAAAAAAAAAATTTTTACCTTGTTTTATAAAGTATCCTCCCGACAAGTATTTCAGTGCGGACCTGTATTTGATCGTGAGGTCTTGGAGCACTGGCATGCAGTCCCCTGTGAGGTCTTAAGTCACCTGATTCACGAGCCCTTTGTACTACATTAACAAAGGCACGAGGGGTTGGTTGCACTCGATTGGGAAACCGATCCGCATAAATATATGCCATTTTTTATTTCGTTTGAGCCACGCAGCAAACTCCACTATTCACTCACGCGTTACCGACTGACACATTGACTGAATAAAAACATCGTGATCAGCGTTTCAAATTCTTTCGCTTTTTTGTTTCCGATGCGATGAACCGATAAGGCGGATTATATCCGTTGTTGCCAAACACGAGCACATAATATTATTATTGAGACAGGGCGGTACTCAAACTTCTAAAGGGCTATAACTTTGTTACTTTAATTTTACCACAAAAATGTTAAAGGAAAAAAACATTTCTTTTGATCAGATCTACTCACTGTTAAAATAAATGACTCAACTTCGAAGTCACCCTGTATATTCAAGAATTTAGAATGGCTTCAATGTAAAATCTGACAGCCATTTGAATTAGTCGTTGTCAACCCCGCTTTGCATATTGTAATGTTTTGGCTAGTTAAACATACACAAATCACAATAGATATTCCTGGAAGACCTAGATTTTATTCTTGAATATTTTTGAATTTTCTAGATGATAAGTGTTTCTATTGTCGAACCTAGACGAACTTCTACCTGAAATATCTTTCAATGAACTGTTTCCGTTTTCCACCAGGTAGAGGCCAATAAATGACCTTAATTTGTCGCTTCTATTAAGAAAGTATTTCCACATAAAAGTTACATTCACGGTTTAAATAGTTTGATTTAGGACCCATTTTAGAAAGCTTGTCAGTTTGATCATCTTTTGGGCCAATCTGAGAAGCCCATCTAACTGTAACACTATCAAATATTGTGCAGTCCATTATTCTTGAAATTCTAGTATAAATTGTGAAAAGCAGTATGTTGCATGAAAAGGCCACTTTCTAAACCTTACGACCAGTTATATACAGGGTGTTCCAATATTCAGAGGACATAAAAGTACCATGGACTCGTAATATTATATATACAGGATGTTTCAGTTTATTGTTGCATAACTTTAAGATTCGATAGAACTTTTAAAAATAATGCATAAAGTCTATATAAACATGGGTCGAAAAATGCGTGGCTTCCGAAATACAGGGTGTTTAAATTTACTTTCTAAAATAGTTTTTTTTAAATATTTCGAACAATATTTGATGTATAACAACGAAAATTAGTATACAAGGGTTTTTTGCTACGACAAAACGAACCAAGGGCATAGTTTTACTGTAGCCGCTAGAGGGCGCTCCCTACTGTACCTGTAGTGTATTAAAATGACCGAAAATTGTTTGCTTTTTGAATAAAAAACTGATTCTTCGCACTTTTCAACATAAAAAAGCTCTCTTGTGAATTCTCGTTATAGTTAGCCGTTTTTGAGATATTTCGATTTCTAAGGTTCGATGCATTTTTAATTATTTATGATAAAATAACGTTAAAAAGTCAGTATCTTGATAATTTTTAGAAGTAGGCTGTGCCTGCAAATATTTTTGAAATTGAAAGCAGAATAAGGTTAAACGTCAATTAGTTGACAGTTAGTTTTGTTGTCTGTTGAAACCTGAAACGTTTTTTTGCAATTGTGAATGCACGAAATTTAGTTTCTTTTACCTGTTTGTTTTGTAAGTTTTATAAAGATCAACATATTTGGTCGCATGAAAATCCGCATGCAGTTCGGGAAAGAAATTTTCAGCGTGAATTTAGTGTGAACGTGTGGATTGGTATCTACCGTAATCGACTATTTGGACCCTACCTTTTGCCTGCAAGGTTAAATGCTGCGACCTTCTTGGAATTTTTAAAGGTTGAACATGCAAATATGTGGGATGATGTTATGTTAGATTTAAGAAGATTGGCCTGGTTCCAGCTTGATGGTTGTCCAGCTCATTATTCGAGAATAGTGAGAAACTGGCTGGACGAAAATTATCCGGTAAGATGGATCGGCCGTGGAGGACCAGTCGCCTAGCCTCCACGATCCCCTGACCTAAATCCATTAGATTTCTTGGTGTGGGGATTTCTAAAAGAAAAAGTGTACCAGACTCCCGTAACCACAAGAGATATGCTAATAGACAGAACCAGGAATGCATGTGATGAAATAAGGCCTTATTTGAATAATGCTATACCACGTTCGATCATTCGTAGATGTGAATTGTGTATTGCACAATTGGGTTTACATTTTGAGCAACTACTTTAGATTTTGTATGTTTGTCCTAACTATCCAATAGCATTTTAGTTGTAAATAATTTAATTTGTTAAAAATAATAAGGAAAATTAAACAAATTAATATTCTGTTTTTTTGTGTTTATTTGGAGTTAGGAATTATCGTTGTTTTTAAAAACACAATCTAAACGATCATCTTAATTACTGTAATGTAAAAAAAAATATTATTTTCCCATAAATAATTAAAAATGCATCTAACCTTAAAAATCGGAATATCTCAAACACGGCTAACTATAACGAAAATTCACAAGAGAGCTTTTTTATGTTGAAAAGTGCGAAGAATCAGTTTTTTTATTGAGAAAGCAAAAAATTGCACTAAGAAAAAAATTTCGGCCTTTTTAATAAACTACAGGTACAGTAGAGAGCGCCCTCTAGCGGCTACAGTAAAACTATGCCCATGGTTCGTTTTGTCGTACAAAAAAACCCTTGTATACCAATTTTCACTGTTATACATTAAATATTGTTCGAAATATTTAAAAAAAACTATTTTAGAAAGTAAATTTAAACACCATGTATTTCGGAATCCACGCATTTTTCGACCCATGTTTATATAGACTTTATGCATTAATTTTAAAAGTTCTATCGAATCTTAAAGTTATGCAACAATAAACTGAAACACCCTGTATACAGTGTTATCCAAATTAAGTGTCCACCATTGGTAACTTTGTTATTAGTAAAAATACAAAGTTGTTTAAATTAGCAAACTAGTATCATTTTTAACGCTGGTAAAAATGAGAAATAAAAAAAAACAATTGAGAGTCGTTTTTTGATTTTTTTCAGTAAAATAACATCTTTTTAAATGGAAACCCCTGTATATTATATTTTTTTCTGTTAAAGCATCAAATTTTAAACAAAAAAGTTCATAATGACTTTTCCGCTAAAGTCAAAAATAAAGTCAAAATAACGATAAATATTTTTAATTATTTGCAGTATTATAATATTAAGACGGCTATGAAAACAACATGGCGTTCGCGATTTGACAGCATTAAGATAAGCGACAAATTGTTAAACTGGACATACTCGCAACTAGAAGGCTTTGGAAAACAATGATAAAATCAAATAATGTCAAACATTAGTGTAAATACTTGTTTATAAGCTTTATTGTGTCATTAATTTAAAGAAAAATGTTCTCCCATGAAGAAAAGTGTGATATGTTAGAATGCTATTTAGTGTGCAGAAAATCTTCCTTGAGAGCAAGAGAATACTACAGTGAATTATATCCCGCTCGCATTCAACCGTATGAACGATATTTTCTGAGACTTTATCGAAAATTTAGGGGCAACGAAAATGTTTTTGCTAAAACAAGGGCAAAAAAAGAATTCATAATAAGCGAGGCCACGGAAATTGCAGTTATTGGATATTTTGAAGCTTATCGTGAGAATTCAATAGCAGATATTCTCAACGACTCTAATTTCAGTTATGGTACTGTTCAAAGGATTTTAAAAAAATACAAATTTATTCCGTATAAGTACCGACCAGTTCAAACGCTTTTGGCAGGGGATCCAGAGAGAAGACTTGTTTTTTGCCATTGGTATCTTAGCTTCTGTCGCCAAAATGTAAATAACTTTCGTTACCTTTTATGGACAGATGAATCAAATTTTTCAAATTCTGGAATGTTTAATAGAAAAAACCACCATTATTGGTCAAGAGAAAATCTTTTGTTAGTACATCCAAGAGGCCCACAAGTCCGTTTCAGTTTCAACGTTTGGTGCGGTATAATTGGTTCAAAAATTGTTGGCCCGTTCTTTTATGAGGGAACCCTAACTGGTGAAAGATATGTGGAATTTATGTCAGAAATTCTGACTAATTTCTTAGACGAATTGGATCTTATAAGTAGACATCATCTGCATTTTCAGCAAGATGGCGCACCTGCCCACAACTCCAGAGGTACTTATCATTTTCTAAGTACTACTTTTAATGATCAGTGGATAGGAACAAATGGCCCAATACAGTGGCCTCCCAGATCACCAGATCTAAACCCACTTGATTACTTCTTGTGGGGTTACTTAAAGAACCAAATTTACAAGCGAAGGTACGATAACCTTGACGCGTTAAAGACTGCAGTTAAGGAAAAGATAACCCAGATAGATGGTAGGACCATACTTAAGACAGTTCGAGCAGTTGAAAAACGTGCCCAAAAATGTATTGAAGAACAAGGTGGTGTTTTCGAGCATCTTCTTTAAAAAAAATTGTTATTGTATTTTGTAAGATTATAAGTTGATGTTGAAAATAAAGTTTGTCGATACA